GGGAAGCCTTAGCACCCTCTTGTCTTTGGATAACCCCCCCAAGGGTGCTGGGGGAATTAGCCTCTGCAAAGGGCCGAGGGCCGGGCACCACCCTCCCTCCCACCTTGAGCTCAGCCCCTGTGCCCCCCACGCACCCCAAACACCCGCTGGGGCACAAGTCATGGCTAAGCTGAAGGCATCGTCTAGCTTGGAGGACCTCGTCCTCCTGGGCCTCGGGAGAGAGGGTCCCTGGGAAGGGGGTACCTCGGAGCCGGGGTGCAATAGGTCAAAGAGAAAACTCCACCAGATGGAAATGAAAGTCCGAACTAAAGTGGCCGTTCCCCTCATCAGAGCCCTCCGAGCCAGGCAGCTGCGTTCCTCCTCTGTCCCGTGCTGGGAAGGAGGGTGAGCACGGGAAGGCAGTCCTGCGGGACGGAGAGCAGCCGAAGAGGCGGCAGTCAGCAGGCTCAGGCAGACGGAGAGGAGCAGGGAGGGCGAGGGGCTGCTCAGCTCCTCACACATAGTTCCTCTTGTCGTAGCTGGTCACGGCAGAGCGCGGGGCGGAATAGGCCACCTTGCTGCGCGCGTACCTCTCGTCTTTGGGGGGGCAAGAGCAGCAGAGGAGAGACCCCCCAAACAGCAGGAGCGCGGATGCCGCCCAGCCCACGTAGAGAGATGTGCCCAGCTCTCGCTTCTGAGGGTCGAGCACCAGCGGGTTGTAGAAATCCCGGATGATGGTGTTGGCCGACCAGGAGACGGGGATGAGGGTCATGATGCCGGAGAGCAGGAAGATGACGCCGGAGACGATGGTGATCTTGGCCTTGGTCGTCTCGTCCTCCACGCAGCGGGTGCACTGCGCCCCCACGATGGCGACCATCAGGCCCAGCACGGCCAGCACGATGGCCACCACGAGGAGGGCGCGGGCGGCCTGCAGGTCCTGGGGCAGCGCCAGCATGGAGTCGTACACCTTGCACTGCATCTGCCCCGTGCTCTGCCCCACGCAGTTCATCCACAGCCCTTCCCAGATGATCTGGGCTGTCACGATGTTGTTGCCGATGAAGGCCGTCACCCGCCACATGGGCAGCGCGCAGCAGATGATGCTGCACAGCCAGCCCAAAACGGA